TGCAAGAGATAATGTGAAAAGAAAACCAATTATCACTAAACTTGAAACAGATTGGGATAAGTAAAAAAAGCCAGAAATGAAGCCAACAATCTTCTACGACAAACCAAAAAGGAATATTACTCCAATAAAATAGCAACTGAAAAGCAAGATCCATAAGCTGCTTGGAAGACAATTAATACCTTACTTGGTAAACAAAATCAAAGAACTAAAGTAAACGAATTAAACTTAAATGGCATGAAATTAACAAGCTCTGATGAAATTCCTGAGGGCTTCAATACCTTCTTTTCAAATATTGGACCGAATTTAGCCGAAGAAATTAGCACGCCAGAATGTCATTCTAAAGACTTCCTTGACAAAACTGAATTTACTTCATTTCAGTCAGTTACTGTTAGTTACTGTTAGTCATGTTTGTCTTTTATGACGTGAACTGTCTGGTAGCAAAGCTACTGCCCTGGATAAAATATCCAGCAAGATAATCAAAATTGCCGCACCATTAATTTCCGATTCATTGACTCACATCATTAATCAAGCAATAACTTTATGTACTTTTCCACATGAATGGAAGATTGCAAGAGTAATTCACCTTTCTAAGAATGGCAAACAAAACTTGCCAGGAAATTATGGACCAATTTCTGTGTTGCCAGCCATTAGTAAAATTATGGAACGTATCCTATATACTCAACTTTATGAATATTTGAGTGCAAATAACATACTTGCTGAGCATCATTTGGTTTCAGAAAACTTCATTCAACTGCAACAGCTTTACTTGATTGCACAAATGATTGGTACATAAACATGGATAGAAAACTTTTTAATTTGGTTGTATTTGTAGACCTAAAAAAAGCCTTTGATACTGTTGACCATCAGATTCATTCATTGGTATAAAATCGGTAATTGGACAAGTACTGGTGTATAAGACATTGTGTAGCCTAAATAATGAAGACCAGTAGTTCAAATGGTTATCCTTTATTTATTTACTCCGACTCCTGTGATGGTAGACATGTACGCAAAAAACAAGGGAAACTACGATTAGATAGTAACTGAATATGTGAATTTTATGTGACACGATGAGGGCGAAGATATATAAGAGCGAGAGATTGAATTGGAATAGGAAAGGCAACCCTGTACGCGTTTCGACCTAACAGTCTTCTTCAGCAGGGTTTTTTTAAGGGGGGTGTAGATAGAGTTTGCACAGTGAAACTAGAATGCAGGAGAGTTTGGGAGCACTGAACATATGTGAAACCAGAGAAAACAAATTATTACGAAGTTATAATGAATTACACAATACAAAAATGAAGGTTGAAAGAAAGTGAAAAGGATGAAATTACTGAATATGTTATTAGTAAAATTATCCTACCAAAGGTCTTGTTGTTGCGGGACATTGCAACATTATGTACTTTATTGTTCATCTTTTAACTATATTTTTGGAGCGAACCAATTTGCTAGTCCTTTAGGGTAAAACTGACTCAACGGTATAGTGAGTTTGAATGCTTATGATGGAAGGGGTGGAGTAGGATTTATTCAGTAGCGTGATCATGTGACTGTAGGTGATTGCATCCAAATATGGTGCCAGTGGCTTGATTGACAGGGATAGGGGCGTGAGGCAATTATTGAATTGTGAGGAAAATTATTGATAACAACGTGCAGGGTTTGATATTATATAAAAATTATATATTGATTAAACAAAAATATGATTAAACAATAACTGAATTATGTACAAATATACAACAAAACCCAAAACAAAGATGGTAAATAAATAATACGATTTGGCCATTGTTAGTTCACAACAGTTCTGGTGTTGATCTTTCCACGCAGAGGATAAGACTTAATATCTGTATATTGTTATTTTAGTATATAGAACATTAAGCAAGCTTTTTGGATTAAAACAAGTAACAAAGATAATGTATGAACCACATTGGGAATAAAAATATCATGGAATGTCATCCGCTGACAATTACTGAATAAACCTCGTAAAACGCGCTAATCAGCATGCAATATTTTGTTTGAGCATGCAATACTTTGTTTATTGCAAAAACTAAAACTATTTGGAATCACAGGAAGTGCATTTCTATTACTCAAGTCATATTTAACTGGTCGTACTAAAAGATGTGAAGTCCATGGATCTATTTCAGGGGAAAATGACGTCAAATGTGGTGTACCCCAGGGGTCTATATTGGGGCCACTATTCTTCTTACTCTATATTAATGATCTACCTGCATGTCTCAGTAAAACAAAACCACGGCTGTTTGCTGATGATACAAATATCACAGCAGCTGGAGAATGCTTAAGAGGCTGTCTCTCTAAGAACCGACCAATGACTCTCGGCTCATATAATGAAATTCTTCGTTACTTTCACAATGAAATGTATTTAGCCCAAGAACAAACAAACACTATTTGAAATTTTGAAATTTTATTAATTTTTATAATTTCAGCGATTTTCGGTCCCTCGCCGTCGGGCAGAAAATCCTCTGCCTATATCAGGCATAAAAATTAGCCGAATTCAAATACATATAATTTTAAAAGTATTCAACCAAATGTTATGAATTTTTCACCCACCAACGTGAAAATTATTCTACTTTGAAACTTGCCTTGTTTTATGATGCTTTTACAGAATGATTATGGCAAACTTCAGCGATAACAAGCACCGGGTCTAAATACGGCTTTGTACGCATATCAAATTCGACTTTAAATTTCTCAAAAGTGGCACCTAACTGGATTCAGTGACTAATATGGTTAAAAAAATGGAAGTTTGAAGTACCAATATCCATAATAAAACTTGTTACCAACCGCGATTTGAAGACTCGACAGCCTCTGAAATTTGATACAATTTGGCTATTTTGTTTAGCTTCAATTATAGCGGAGTTGAGACGTCAGAGCTTCCAGACACTTGTAAAATGCGCTGTTGTTCCGTTTTTTTACACAAGCCGTTAATATCATCTTAGTTAAGCGATTTTTCTGTGTTCATGAACATCACAAGTGGATTGAATTAAAAAAGATTTCGATCGATGCAGCGAGGTATTATTAAACGTGGTACGCTTTCGTATTAAAATGAGCTACTCGGGGAAAACCCGGAAATTATTGTCAAATTGTCAATGCTGATATTCATTAATCTAAACTCTGTATGTCTATTCTGCACGATTGGGAAAGAATTAGTAGTAGTAGTAGTAGTAGCAACTTTATTTAAGGAGGGTAAAACACATTACAGCCGAAGGCTGAAAAACTTGTGGCCCTCACTATACTAATTACAGGAAAATGCAAATTATATTATACAATATACTTATACTATGTTATGTTACAAACTTGATGGCTATAAAAACTTGATAGCTATAAAAACCTCACTACACTAAGAGTACTACAGGATGATTTAGTATATTATACACTTATGCTACATTAAATAGTAAAGAGTTAAAAATGATCTAAATCGCGATATTGTTCAGTTAAAAATGTTCGGTATTTATTCTTAAATGTACCTATATTTGAACATGATCTAATATCCGTAGGAATGCTATTCCACAGTTTAGCTGCCGATATTAAAAAAGATTTCCCCCCTTCTAATTCCCGATTGTATTTGGGACAAACAACAGTTATTTTGCCATATCGTGAAGTTCGCGACGATATTTGACTAACTGTTACAAATTTTTCAGCAACATAGGATGGGGCTAATTCATTTAAACTCTTAAAAACCATACAACATTTATTTATTTTGAGTTCATCAGTGAAAGGTATCCATTTCAGTTTTTTAAACAAAGTCATGGTTCTCTTTTCTCTTAACTTGGTATTTAAGATAAGTCTTGCTGCACGTTTTTGAAGTTTAAACAATCTACCAAGATTTTCTTGACTGGTCATCGACCAAACCAAACCACCATACATGAACAATGGTTTAATTATAGCATTATAAAATTGGATTCGTTCTCTATTTGGTAAATTATGTCTTATGGAATTCAATAGACCGATTCTCTTGGTCAGTTTTTTGCATAGCGCGTTGATGTGATCATTGAAACTTAGATTCTGGTCAAAGATAACTCCAAGAACTTTATAACACGGGACTTGTTCGAGTAGCACGCCTTTAGTTGTGGTGATATTTAATACTTGTTCATCTAGAGAAAGTTTAGATTTTAATCTTTTACCTGTAACAAGCATCGGGTAAGAACCGACCATTCTTACCTGTAACAAGCATCAGGTAAGAACCGACCAATGGCTCTAGGCTCAAAAAATGAAATTCTTCGTTACTTTCACAATGTCTTTTATGATTTTTTCGCCCACGCACGTGAAAGTTATTCTACTTTGAAACTTACCTGGTTTTATAATGCTTTTGCAAAACTGTTATTATGGCAAACTTTAGCGATAACAACCACCAAGTCCAAATACGGCTTTGTACACATATCAAATTCGACTTTAAATTTCTCAAAAGTGGCTCCTAACTGGATTCAGTGACTAATATGGTTGAAAAAAGGGAAGTTTAAAGTACCAATATCCACAATAAAACTTGTTACCAACCGCGATTCAAAGACTCCCAGAGACTCTGAAATTTGTTACCTTCAATTATCGCGGAGTTGAGACGTCAGAGCTTCCAGTCATTTGTAAAATGCGCCGTCGTTCCGGGTTTTTTTTTCACACAACCCTTTAAGCGATTTTTCCGTGTTCATGAACATCAGAAGTTGTTTTAATTCGAAAAGATTTGGTTCGATGCAGCGAGGTAAACGTTACAGCGAGGTAAGCGAGGTAAAATAGAGTCATTGCTAATTTTGGCACTTCCCGTCATAAACAGTCTAAAGCCTGGTTCACATATGCCTGCGGTATGCCTGCGACTGTATCATTATGCCTCTACTTGCCGCCGAAAAACCGGCAAAGTTGAACTCAAGTCAACTTTCCCGGCCTACCGCCGATGTAACTGTGGCACTAGAGGCAATCGGCGAACAAATATTCACATAATTTAAACATGCTAGGACTCTTGCGGAGACTGAAAAACAAGCATCTGGCACGCGAATAGTTCATTCAACATGCCTTCGTCAGCAGAGATAAACGCTGTCAACAAAGATAATTCTTCACCAAATGATCAACGTTCACAGAAACCTGAACCAAAACAGAAAAAGCTGCTTAGTACATCAGAACAGGTACCTACCAGAAAATGTTTCAGATGTGGACTTACCTGGCCCCACAAAGATCAACCATCCCCTGCTGAAGGACAGCAATGCAACAATTGCAAAAAGTACAATCACTTTGCACGTGTTTGAGGTCCACTCGACGAAAACAACCCAGCAACGAAGTCCGTAAGATTGAACAGGCTCAACAATAAATAGAAAGTGATGACTGCGATGAATATGTGTACACACTCGAGACACCAGCTGACAAAGAGAACTTTCAGAAGACATTAAGAGTTGGAAATTCAGAGATACATTTTCAAATTGACACTGGTTCAACTGCCAACATTATCAATGAAACATCCTATAAACATCTTGTTGATGGAAACCCTACAATAACCTATGCCAAGTAAAAAAACCCGCCTTTTTGGTTTTGCTAGCTCTACACCCTTACAAGTCTTAGGACAATTTCAATGTACTGTTGAGTCATCGCATAAAATAACGACTGCAAAAGTGTTTGTAGTGAAAAATACAACTGGATGTTTACTTAGTGGACATACAGCAATTGAATTAGACCTCATTCATGTTAAAGCGAATGGAGTTACAACACTCAACTCCAAAAAAATACCAACTCGTCTCAAGCTTAAGAATTTCAAGGTTCTTTTACACATCGATCCAAGTGTCAAACCTGTAGTGCAGCCCACTCGTCGCATTCCCTTTGCCATTCGAAACAGAGTTGAAGTCGAACTGAAACATTCAGAAGACTCTGACATTATCGAGCCTACTGCAGGGCCTGCACAGTGGGTTAGCCCTATTGTTGTCTTCCCAAAGCCTAACCAGCCTGATAAAATACGCTTGTGTGTTGATATGCGTATGCGAAATCAAGCAAATGCCAAATTGATTCATATGTTGAAGAGTGCATTAAAAAATTCTCACCCTGCCAATCAGTCACTCGACCAAAACTCCCTGCACCACTGAAATTGATTCAGATGCCAAAGCATCCATGGGACACAGTTTATGTAGATTTTCTCGGCCCATTTCCAGGTGGAGAATTACTTCTTGTGACTAACGGATTTTTTCAACACATGGTTTACCAAAGAAAATTATCACCGACAACGGCCCACCTTTTATAAGCTATGAGATTCAGAAGTTTATGAATGATAATAAGATCCATCGTCATAAGATAACACCACTCTGGCCTCAAGGCAATGCGGAGGCTGAGAACTTCATGAAACCTTTGAAGAAATGTATCCAAGCTGCTCATGTTGATCATAAAAACTGGGGCAAAGAAATGTATCAATTCTTATTAAACTAAGAGAGAACTTAAAGCTTTTGGCGATAAATAAATCTGTTTTAAATTCCCTGTCTGTTTATGCTCCCGCGCATTGTGGCTTCGCACGGAAAGGTCGCACGCAAAGGTTAAGCACTGAATTAAGATCGTTCGCGAGGCGAACATGATGTGCGCGTGATTATGCTTCAGCTCACTTTACACTACTTTTGCGGGGACCGCTGCGCATGAGGTTTATCGCCACTAGACAATATAAAGTATTCGCGGGTCGATGTGAGGTTGATTCTCTGGGACTCTGTAGGGTTTTTCTCGGGGTTCTGTAGGGGTTCTCTCTGGGTTTTTAGGGCTTCTCTCGTTGTTCCCCCGGAGTTCCCTCGGAGTTCCATGGGAGTTCTCTGCATGTCGGATACGATTCAGTGTGATTAATACTATAACAAATATAACAGACAAACAAATAGGATTGATGAAATTTATTTTTAAAGTTTGCAAGTACAACAATTTATTCGTTAGTATCGGTTGCATCGTCTGAATTATGTTGTCGTTTTTCTAAAACACGTTTGAAAAGAAACTTTCTCTTTTCGACTGCGGAATATACAGCTTTTTCTCGGTCGAAGAAATCTACGTCAATTAAATTATCTCTTGTCTGCATGATCTTCTTGTGAATTTGATCTTTTCTCATGTGTGACATCCATAGCAGCCGTTCTACATAAATATGTTCTAGTTCTTTTGTGAGTTTGGGAAGAAATTCTGAAAACGATTGCCTCTTAGCTTCAACCTCACTAAAACCCTCATTATTAAGGCATTCAACGTTTTCTTCAAATTTATCTGAAAGTTGCAGTTTTGCTCCGTGTATCAACGTTTGCCAGGGTTCGTAGTCCTCTACATCTTCGCTGGATTCGTGTTCTTCGTCTTCGCTTTTCTCTTTGCTGTCATCGTCCTCGCTGTTCTCATTTTCGTCGCTGTTGCTCTCTTCTTCACTGCTATGTTCTTTCTCGTCATCACTATCGAAAATATTGTCGTTTTGAGATGATGAAGATACCCCTTCATTGTAATTATCTATCCTAGATCTTTTTTATCTGTGCATAATGCTGTAGTCTTCTTCATCTGCGCCAGATGACATGGCGTCACTCAGATAAATACGTCTTTCTTCACTTGATAAACGGTGAATGTCTGCCAAATGATTTGATAATTTGCAAAGGTTTTTCTTTCCGCACAGAAGACAGTGTTTACGCGTTCGCGGCATGGAGCGAAATGATTCCTCTTGTCAAACGGGATGCAGGGACGTTGTTACGGGACGCCCGGCCGGACTTGCTTGCGGGACACTTTGAGAGGTGTTCCTATATGCGGGACGCACTGGACTTACTTACGGGACGCATTTTAACGTGTCCTTGCGTCCCGTAAGTAAGTTCCGTGAGTCCCTATATGCGGGACGCTGCTACGGGACGCCCGGGACTTACTTATGGGACGCATTTTAATGTGTCCTTGCGTCCCGTAAGTAGGTGCCGGGCGTCCCGCATATAGGGACACCTCTCAAAGTGTTCCGCAAGCAAGTCCCTGGCGTCCCGTAGCAGCGTCCCTGCGTCCCGCATATAGGGACGCACGGGACTTATTTACGAGACGCAAGGACACATTAAAATGCGTCCCGTAATTAAGTCCCGGGCGTCCCGCATATAGGGACACCTCTCAAAGTGTCCCGCAAGCAAGTCCCTGGCGTCCCGTAGCAGCGTCCCTGCGTCCCGCATATAGGGACGCACGGGACTTACTTACGGGACGCAAGGATACGTTAAAATGCGTCCCGTAAGTAAGTCCTGGGCGTCCCGCATATAGGGATTAGGGACACCTCTCAAAGTGTCCCGTAAGTAAGTCCCGGGCGTCCCGCATATAGGGACGCAGGCACGCTGCTACGGGACGCCAAGAACTTGCTTGCGGGACACTTTGAGAGGTGTCCCTATATGCGGGACGCCCGGAACTTAATTACGGGACGCATTTTAATGTGTCCTTGCGTCTCGTAAATAAGTCCCGTGCGTCCCTATATGCGGGACGCAGGGACGCTGCTACGGGACGCCAGGGACTTGCTTGCGGGACACTTTGAGAGATGTCCCTAAATGCGGGACGCCCGGCACCTACTTACGGGACGCAAGGACACGTTAAAATGCGTCCCGTAAGTAAGTCCAGTGCGTCCCGCATATAGGAACACCTCTCAAAGTGTCCCGCAAGCAAGTCCCGGGCGTCCCGTAGCAACGTCCCTGCATCCCGTTTGACAAGAGGAATCATTTCGCTCCATGCCGCGAACGCGTAAACACTGTCTTCTGTGCGGAAAGAAAAATCTTTGCAAATTATCAAATCATTTGGCAGACATTCACCGTTAATCAAGTGAAGAAAGACGTATTTATCTGAGTGACGCCATGTTATCTGGCGCAGATGAAGAAGACTACAGCATTATGCACAGATAAAAAAGATCTAGGATAGATAATTACGATGAAAGGGTATCTTCATCATCTCAAAACGACAATATTTTCGATAGTGATGACGAGAAAGAACATAGCAGTGAAGAAGAGAGCAACAGCGACGAAAATGAGAACAGCGAGGAAGATGACAGCAAAGAGGAAAGCGAAGACGAAGAACACGAATCCAGCGAAGATGTAGAGGACTACGACCCCTGGCAAACGTTGATACACGGAGCAAAACTGCAACTTTTAGATAAATTTGAAGAAAACGTTGAATGCCTTAATAATGAGGGTTTTAGTGAGGTTGAAGCTAAGAGGCAATCGTTTTCAGAATTTCTTCCCAAACTCACAAAAGAACTAGAACATATTTATGTAGAACGGCGGCTATGGATGTCACACATGAGAAAAGATCCAATTCACAAGAAGATCATGCAGATAAGAGATATAGGCCGTGGGCTGTTGGCCAAAATTATTTCGCTTAGATAGATAGAAACTTTATTTATACACGCTGACCCCGTCAACCGAAGCTGATTTCCACGGGGGGCGTGTGCAAAAATAGAAAAATGTTACATGGAGATATTAAAATACTTAAGTTTAAAAAGGTAGAATATTAAATTATTTACATGATAAAAAGGTTGTTAGAATATTTACAGTTACATCAATTTACTCTATGTCAATTTTGTGAGCAGCAATTTTATTTCTAAAGGATGAAATAGTTTTGCTTTCCCTAATTTCCTTTGGAATAGAATTCCAAAGGTGTGCTCCGTCATACATGAAACTATTTTTCATGTTTTTAGTACGCGGTTTTGGTAAACTAAGACCACTTGAAATGTCACGAAGGTTGTACTTTGTTTTCTCACATTTGTATGAAAAAAGATTGGTGAGTGATTTAGGACCCATTTTATTTAATACTTTGTACATCATTTTTGCCTTAGCTTTCTTCCTTTCAGTTTTGAGTTGCTCCCAGCCCAATGCACGTAGAGCAATGGAATGATTTACGTCATTACTCATGTTCAAGATAATTCTAGCAGCTCTATTTTGAAGTTTTTGGAGTCGTTTTGATTGTGATTCACCAAACACATCCCATACTTCACAACAGTAATCGAAGTATGGGCGGACAATAGCATTATATATCGAAATGAGTGTATTTTTGTCAACGAAAGGTTTGACTCGGCGAATAGCAGAGATTCCTGCATTTATTTTTTTGCATATATTTTCGGAATTACTTTTCCAAGACAAATGCTGGTCAACTATTACTCCAAGAGTTTTGCATTCGCTAACTTGTTTAATTTGCTTATTTTCAATGAAAACATTTAAATGTGAATCAGAATTTTTTTTAATCATTGCGTTTGAACCAATTAACATAAATTCTGTCTTAGCTACATTTAGACTAAGTTTATTAGCAATTAACCATTTTCTGAGGTTTTCCAAATCAGAATTTACTGCAGTTTCAAGGTCAATTATAGAATCTCCCGATGCTGTCAGATTTGTGTCGTCAGCAAACAATCGAGGTTTTGTTTTGTTTAGACACTGAGGTTAGATACTTGGTTTGGGGTTTATTTGAAAGGAATAGAGGCACATCACTACCAAAAAAGTTCCCAAGCTAAAAAGTTGCCCAATCCCGAGAAAATGGGCGATCACAATCTCGTTCCCCGAGCCTGCGATCCTTGGGAGGGAATCGAAGGCTCTGGGATAATCAGGAAGCCAAGAATCCTGGCTAAGATTGGACTACGCATTCCATTTCAATGGCCAATCAGATTCCTCACTGAAACGGATTATCCCAGAGCCTCGCGTTCCTTCCCGAGGATCGCAGGCTTGGGGAACGAGATTGGGGCGATCAATGACAATCCTCTATTAAATTGTATTACGGCAGAAAAATGGGAAGTTCTGTATTCAATTCCAATAAGAATGACTTGCATCATCGGAAAACGTACAAAAAACCACACATAAGACTTTTAAACAGTTTTTTTATTTTTCAAATAGTCTTTGAGTTATTGCTGTTTTAAATGTGAAAATTGACCAAAATGTCGCAATAAGGACTGGGTACTAGGTCAAAACGCGTTTTTGACAGAGTATAACTCGAAAACAATTTTAGATATAAAAAAACTGTTTAAATGTCTTATATGTAAGTTTTTGTAAGCTTTCTGATGATGCAAGTCATTTTTGTTGTAATTGAATACAAAATTTTACATTTTCTTGCTGTAATACAATTTAATAGACGATA